ACACACACACACACACACACACACACACACACACACACACACACACACACAAATACATATCATTAAAAGAATACAGTCGTTATTTCCCTTTGATATTTCCTCATGTAGTGGGATATAAGTAACACTCTGCCCCTTCTACAAGTGCGGAACTCTCTCTCATTCCCACGTGACAGCATCTCTGAAGTATGGGTGCCTACATTTCTTCCTGCTGATCTCTGTTGACGGAGGGTCCAGTTATGCGGAAAGTGAACACCCATAACTAAATAGCGGGAGGTCCACCTTCAAAATAACCTGTCTAGAAGAGCGATAAGCTCTTTGAGATTAAAAATAGCTCCCACGTAGATCTTATGCTTAGCAACATTGAAATATACTTTTCAAGAGGAATTCAAGCCTCATCACGGTATCTATAATATAACGAATGTGAGCTTTTCCAGTTATTTAAATAACGTAAAGCTGGTACGTTTCGTCAAAATATCTTCAGTGATGTCATGGTTAGCCTTTTCTATACTTTGAATTACTCCGATCCAGAGCTAGAATCATAGCAGGCGGCACATGTCCATAGCTGCTCATCTCTCCTTTCCAGCGTTCACCACAGGGTCCTCCTAATTGTCTCCAGGAGGTTTGAGACACGTCTGACCACTCCTCGGAGCAAACTTTTGTTCCCTGTGCCCAGCACAAACTTTTCTTTTATTGTGCTGAGTGTGTGGGAGTCTGTCTCCTCTTGGTCGTGAAGGTTCTCCTTGCATCTGGCGATCACCATTGGTGGGTCGAGCATGATTCGGAGATTTGGGTGCTGCTTTGCCGGCAAGTTCATCCGCACACTCATTTCCGTGTACGCCTGCGTGACCAGGGCAGAACACCCATGTAAGCCTTAGGAGGTGGCTATTTGCAATGGAAGCTCTCCAGTCACTCTAGAGCCACCCACTCCTGATTTTTTGTAGGGTGCTCATCGAATCTGTGACGAACAGGGCATGTTTATACGCTTCCATACTGATCCATTCCAGCGCCTCTGTTATTGCCTTAACCTCCATTGCCATGCTCAATGTAGTGCACGCGTAGGCTCCAGACTGTTCTTTAATTATCTTCCCGTCAACTTGAGCACTGAAAGCCCACAAAGATTTCTGGCCACGCCTCACTGATCCGTCGGTGAAGACGACAGCATCACCCATCACTGAATATTCCTCAAGAATGGTCACAATTTCCGCATTAGTTGCATTGGCTGGCCACTCGCGACACTCTCGACCTAGCGTAGCTATAACCTTCATGAAGTTGCTCATGTCTTTCTCCGGCCTCATCCTGTCGCATCCTCTTCTTATGTCCTCGATTTCACAACACATATCGAGAGTTCGCTCTGCCTGCACCATCCATGAAGATCCTCTTTTTAATCATTGGCTTAGGTTTCCTATTTTCGGATGTAGAGGGTGACGTTCGTCTGCTGTTACTCGTAGGTAGGCTTTGACTTGTGCTAGCTTGTGTCGGTGGGTTAAGGTTGGCAGGTCCAGCAGATATCTCATCGCTGATGCTGCTGTGTCACGGGTGCATCCCAGAACAGTTTGTATTCCTTCATTTGAATGACTCTGAGGCGATGTAGCTGGGTTTTGGATAGGGTGAGCCTACCAAGGCCATAGTCCACTACAGACAGTACAACCGCTTGAAGCATGATCATAAGGGCGCGTTGGGGCATAGATGCAGCCATCACTCTCAGTGCAACTAGTCCTTTCCTTGCTCTGGTGATAATGTTAGTCACATGGTCTTTTCCCGATAGAGTGCGGTCAAAGGTAATACCCAGGTACTTCAATTTCTCTTGCCTTTCCAACTGCGTACCCTGTATATTAACAGCATGATAGCCTTGACTGCCCTGTTGTTGAGACTGGTCCACAGTACCCCTGCCTTCGCTGGATAAAGTTTTCCATTGTTCTGTTCGCACCATTCACCAATTCGATCTAAATCCTCCTGCATGCTCTTTGCAATCAGCTCCCGATCTCTCCACTGCATATAATATACCAATACATAATCTGCAAAGCTTAGCGTGCGGACAGGTCCCTCCAATTGATTGGCTTTAAGACCGATGGTGTATATATTGAACAAGACTGGTGACATGGCCGATCCCTGGGGCAGTCCTGGGGTTATGGTAATAGGAAGCCCAGCTGCCAAGGCACAAGGAAACCTTTCTTTTTAACAAGACATTTCCTACCCAGATCACCAATTCAGAGTCGATTTTCGTTATTGATCATAGTTCGCATGATCAAGCTAAAGGGCACCCGGCTATATGCATCTTCTAGATTTATTGCCGCGACTAGTGTCTCTTTTTCCTCCTCAAAACCGTCGTATGTGTCGGAGGCCAAAATTGCCGCATTCCTCCAGGTGTCCTTACCAGGGCGGTAGCTGCCAAGTTCCACAGGTATCAGATTGTTGCGCTCCAAGAAATTGGACAGCCATCTGGACACCATTTTCCATTAGTTTCCCCACCGTGTATTGCTTTGTGATAATCCTGTAGGACTCAATTCTTGTGGGGTCCTTTCCTGGTTTTGGTAGAGGTATATGATAACTGCCCAGTCAATCTTGTGGAACCAACCCGTCATGCAAACTATTATCAAGGATGTTTGCGAGACTCTCCAACTTGCGGTCATCCAGGTCCTTGATGTGGGGATAACGCACCCTGTCTGGGCCTTGTGCTGTGTCAGGTGCTGTCTGAAGTATATTTCGAACAGCCTCCAATGTGATTTTTAACGCTTCCTCTCCTTCCCAGTATCTTCCTTCTACATCCTTCAGAATGTTCGAGTCTTTTCTATGTTGATCGCAAATTTCATGAGTTCGATTCCCACATCGAGACGTCAGTTCTATCGAGTATCTCCATATCTTAGAATGCTCTAACCTAGAGAAACTACTTTGGCTGGATTGGGAGGGTTGAAGAAATCCAGCTCCTAAATGATCAAGTTAATGATATTGACAGGGGCACAAATCATGCTTAAAACCTTTTCACATCTCGACAAAGGAAGCAAAACGTGACATGCCACACACATGTCAAGTAAGAAGTCAAGCAATGGTTGTGTTTCTTCACTTCTTTTTTTTGGTTGGGGG